GCATACTTTGATCGATGGATGATTGACATGTCTACAAGATTGCTATTTATTTTATAGCAATGGATGTTTTCTTGTTTAAGACAGGGTCTCCATGCATTTTTGATCTTCTCTTTTGCTATGCTTGCAAATTCCTGACTGCAATATTCTAAATTGTCCAATTTATTTAGTGACAATCCTTCCTTCGCTAATTTGTCGGCTTGTTCGTTGCCGAAAATATTGACGTGGGAAAGGATCCATGCAAGGATTTCCTCCCTCCCACTGGTTTTTAACTTTTGGTTTAGGTCCCTAACTTCGTGGATTATGTCCTGCCTGCTTATGGAGGTGTTTGATTCTAGATGGATTTGATACTACTCAGGGAATCAGACAGTATTACGTTTTGGTGTGTTTGCATACAAGCCATTCCAGTGTAGTTTTAATGGCAATACAGTTCTGTGGTGAACACAGAACAATGTTTTGGTAGCCTTTTCTGATATTCAGCTTTGCTTTGGGTATATATATGCCATATCTTGTTGCTCCCTTTGTAGCATTTTTTGATCCATCTGTGTAAATTTTGAGATGGTTCGTGTTTATTTGTGATGTCACTTAAGTGCATGTTGGTGATTGGATCGCTTAATTGCCAAGGTCGTGTGTCGGGGAAGGTTTTTGTCTCAATAATCATTACTTTCAAATTGTGCTTATTTAAAATATTGTTTTACATTTGCTCAAATCTCAGGGGCCAGGTGTTTTTTCTTAAAGTCTATTCATTGAAATTTTTTGAAGCAATTGTATGTCGGGCATCTTTCTTTTAGCATTTGCAGCTTGCCCCAATACTTGAGTGAGAGTTCCTCGCGTTTAAAGGCAACTGTTTTGGTCACTATAGCAGCTCTAGTCGCTAGTCTTATGGCTTTGCTTTGTAATTTGTCTAGCCTGCTGAGTTGACTATCACCTGCGTTGTCATTCGCAAACATCCGTAGTCGATAACCAAGCGGATGGGTGATCTTATATTATTAGCATTAGAGTGCACCTATTGGCTCCCCATTGTATTCCTCTGATGTATTTCATAATGTTGAGTGTTTTGGATGTGCAACTAACTGTGCCATCAATATGTGGCTTCCAAGTAAGTCTTGAGTGGAACGTCATGCCCAGGAATTTGGCTTGTTCTTTGAATTCAACTTATCCTATTACTACATGTATCTGTCAGATGAAACAGTATTGCTACTGTCTTCCCCTCTGATATTTTGAAACCCCATCATTTGCCCACTTTGAGATTTGTTCTAGAGTAAATTGCAAAGATTTTCTAATTTTTCCTATGTCCTTTGAAGCCTTCCAAAAAGAACTATTGTCTGCGAATAGCGCCGACTAGGTGTCCCTTCCCCCATAGCTTGGAAGATCATTTATCATAATGTTGAATAGTATTGTACTGATGACAGACCCTTGTGGCATTCCATTTTCCATTTTTAATTTTTCACTCATGCAATTACCTACTAGTACCTTCATATGGCTATTTCCAGAAAATCCTCTATCCACCTATACATTCAGCCTTTGACTTTTGCATTGTCCTTATGCTTATGCAGGGGAATAACTTGTGGTGTTTTTCCTTGGGACAGTGAGAGATTAAAGATATCTAGGACTAATGCTTTCTCGGGTAGTTTTTAAGCATTGTGTATTTCACACAGTCTAGCCCTTCTGCACTGTCTTGTTTAGTCTGCAATGGCAAGCCCACCGGCACATTTTACAGACATATTGTTTGAGTTCCATAGAACGAGGCCGTAACCCATTCACATTTAGTTGTAATATCGTGATTGGCTTAGCCATTGTAATGGACAATGATTTGTTGTTTTAATATTATTGACTTTTAATATTATTGACCTCGTCGCTATTACCTACACTTTTTGTCCGTTTGTTTTGTATCATTATCTCTTCTTCAGTAAGCATGGGATTAACTCCATGTCTGAGTGAATTGTCGTCCTCTCTGAAACAACTTGTCGATTGTTCTCTTTGAGAATGATTTTGACCGGCTTCTACTTGGCTTGGTGTGGAAGGAGGGGGCATTGCATTTTTATCTTTCCCCGGACCCTTCTCTGCTTGAGAAGGTTTCCCTTTGGTACTTTTCGGTGTTTGCGTTATTTTTAGTGTTTTGGGCATATTCGACACAGTTATTCCTTCTTAACTGAACCCAATCGAGCAATATCTCGACAAAAGCGGACAAAGTCTCCTGCACCTTTGAATTGGGGTTAAAAGAATTTATTTGCTTCATTGGCAGGTTCTTCTGTTTTTAGGGGTGGCAACGTCCGCCAACTTTTGAGGAACGGTTTTGTTGTTATATCATGCGTGTACTGCATAGTGAACACTGTTTTTGTGCTGAGGTACTTCAGACATTTCAGTGAATCGGCACCATGATTTCCCCTACAGTTTACATATTTGGGTTGTGCAGCCCTACAGTCTTCAGTTTTGTGGGAGTTCCCAGATTTTTACGCAGATAGCCACACTTCTACAGAATTTCTCAACATGCCCTATTCTTTGGCATTTGGTACATCTCGTGACTTTCGGGATGTATGGGTCGTCGCTCGTACAACATATAGCTGATGTCCTGCGAGATAATCCATCATGTAGATGTGGCCATAACATTGAAGATAGTTACCACTTCCTTCTACACTGTCCAAATTATCCTCAGACCTGAGAGTACCACTACATTTCTACTATGGTAGCAGGAAAGAACAAATTATTCACTGTAAACTGAGCTATTCTAAAAGTAATCTTAATTTTCACAAATGTATCAAATAATCCATCATGTAGATGTGACCATAACATTGAAGATAGTTACCACTTCCTTCTACACTGTCCAAATTATTTTAATGAACGACAAACAACTATAAAAACTCCCCCACCCGAAAAACAAGATATTCGCATCTTACTATATGGTGACTCAAGGTCAGACAAATCAACTAACGAAAATATTGTATGTGCTGCACTGCTGTTCAGGATTTTATTAAATTATCCAAGCACTTTGAAATATGATAATTAATAATTATCAACTCAAAAAAATTTACCCAGTTGTATAGTTTCATTATGGATGTTATACAGTCTTATCAAAGTCCTTTGTACATTGGATCTCCGCCCTCCCTCCAATGTCAGTTACACATTACAGTAGCCGCCCATGATTTTGAGGTAACGAACATGAACTCGGCAGTTGAGTATTGACCCCTTCTTGGTCCTGATACTAGCTTAAACTTGATTATATTTTCCCTGTAATCTTATTATACATGTACTTTAATACTCCATATCAATGTATATTGATAACTATAATATATGTTTATATCATTTATGTATCTTGCTTTTGGGAAGCCGATTTATATAAGCCTTTGGCTTGTTTCGGTATCCTGTGAATAAAATATTGTTTAAAAAAAATCTAGGATCTCCTCGTCACTGAAGTCCTTATGGACGTTATAGATTATTACCCTATCTGTTTGGTTGTGCTTCGACATGGAGATCACAACCCTTAGGTTTACCAACATTTAATGTTGGCTGCCAGTTGGGCATCTTCCGTATTTTGAAACACAATTCTGGCGTTTCCAATTGCGAGTACCCATATGTCGGGAAGAGCTGTTGTCCCCCATTTCATGCAGATCTCGTCTCTTATTTTGGACACCTTGATGCCTTTTAAAAGATTTCCATTCTTTGGGCGTGCATAGTACAATATACTTGTATTCAGGCACTACTTTTGAGGGCATTTTGGGTGAGTTGATTAGGATGTTTGAACAACTTTCTGCCATTTCAAAGCAAAAAATATGGAATATGTAAAAAAGAAATGAGCAAAAAAAATGAACAGAGTGTGGTTTGCTTGGGAGAAGGGTGGAGTCGAAAATGAACAAAAGTTTTAAGCCTTACGTTTTGAACAACTAAGATTAGCCCGCTCGCTAACTTGATTTGTTCAGTTGACGAGTTTGGGATATATAACACAATATAAAGAAGAAATAAGTTTATAAGATTTTAACAGTACTCACAGTTTAGGTATACGATAATCCGCTAAACACAGCTTGATGTTAACAAGGCGAACGCTAATTAACAAGTTATGTGAATGACCCTGTCTTGATTCAGTTAAATATCTTGAGTTTGGTGTCTATCTTCTCTTTCTAAAACTCCAGTTTAGAAATTTGAATGACATAAATAACTTTTTGATGTGATTTAAAAAAAAAAAAAAATACATTGAATGGTTGTAGGTAATTATTTTGTCTGAGAAAGTAAGTTCGGTTTAAAAATCTAGCTTGTTTGACATATTTCTTCTTCAGTTAAAGATTCAACTGATTGCCATAATTACTACTTAATTAAGACTTTATTGTTGTTTCTGTCTATATTGGTAACTAATTGAACCATTTTGTCTGGTTCTATGCAGTAGTTCTCTTTAACTTAGTTGTGGTTTCACACAGCGTACATGTAGCTTGTGTGAAACACTATTGTTTTTGTTAAGATTATTATTAGGGTTTTACACAAGCTACCCTGTGTGAAACACTATTGTTTTTGTTAAGATTATTATTCTTATTATTAAGCTTTCATATTTCATATGAAAGCTTATTGTTTTAGTTAAGATTATTATAAGGGTTTCAGACTTTCGTCTGAAAGACTATTGTTATTACTAAAATTATTAGGCTTATTGCGATTACTAAAATTATTATTATTTATTATTATTCTTTACCGCCAAGGCTATATCTTGAAGACGAAAAGAGATTTCGATGTGTATAATCGACAACCCTTGTCGACCGCCCAGACTATTTAGCTGCTTTGAGCGTATATTTCATTGCCTGGCAACCTAACTTTGACTAAAATCATGGTCTGTTCATTTTAGTACAGCGTTCATATCAGATATTTTGTGATATTTGCTCTGTGGAATTTATTGACAAAGCTTTAGGATTATGTATGGCTGACTTTGCTGCTGGTGGGTGTATAATGGAGCAGATAAGACCCTGTTTCAGATATTGCTTGAACAAAATTGATAAATCTTTTCTGTAATTAACTTTTCGTAGGTGTGAAGATTGGGATGTATTGAATGCCAGAAAAACTTCAACACTGGAATGTGAGGTATGTATTATACAGGGTGAACCCCCAAAAAACAGAACTCATAAAATTTTTATTAAATCCTATAAAAGTCCAGCAATCTCCTTGAACTTAAGTCTATGTATGAGCATTCCCCAAAGTTTCAGTTAACTTGGTCACTTTGCATAAAAGTTATGTTCTTTCCAAAATATGCTCCAAATGGCCTCTACAGCATTGGAGGCAAACTTGCATACGTCGCGCAAAATTGTCAATTACTCCGACACATTCCTCTTTGAAATTTGCTGGACCTTTTTAGGATTTAATAGAATTTTTGTGGGTTCTGTTTTTTTGGGGTACCCTGTACTTGGGCCTAAAGAGTTTGGTCTGCTTGATAAAAACATTTGGGACAAAAACTTACAGGGCAAACACTATCATTTGATCTTTTTTGAAGCCTTCTGTTCATTTTGTGTTAGACCTACATTGTCAGATGGATGTTTTAGTCTGGTTTAGGGTTAAAAGCAGTGTTGGGATTTCAAAACTCTTATTGTTATTTAAGCAGTTGGCATCAGACCACAATTAAAAATCATGTGTCAACAAAATATTCAAATTCGTACATAATAAAAAAATAGGTGCACCTATACTGTCGACCTATATTTTTCGGAGTATAAGTCGATAATTATTTCAGCAGAAGTTCAGCATTCGTCTTATACTCCATTTCGACTTCTATACAGATGGAGGTAAAACAAAAACAAAATGACATCCTGAAATTTTTTTGGCACTAACCGTTGCTCCAAGCGAGTGACGACATCATCTGCTGAATAATAGCACTCACATGCACTATCCTGTAAAACAATTAACTACTTACACTATTCCAATTGAAATATTTCTGAACATTTCTTAGCTTGTTTATTTCTTTTTTTAAAAACATAAACCCGATTCAAAATATTATCATAACCTGAAAATATGCCATCAATATAGAATCTTTTCTCTGACATTACTCACATGATAATTGTCAAGTGTTTACACCTCTTGTAATTTCATGCGTCTCGCGAAATTTCTACTTTAGTTTTCGATTATTGTGTTATACCCACGTGTGTGTGAAGTAGCTTTATTTAACGCCTGGTTCCACCAAAGTGATATCGCTGACAAATTAACGGATATATTGATTTACAAGTTAACAGATATATTGTTGTTTGTTGTGTGTGTGAAATAGCTTTATTTAATGGATATATTGATTTACAAGTTAACGGATATATTGATTTACAAGTTAACGGATATATTGATTTACAAGTTAACGGATATATTGATTTACAAGTTAACGGATATATTGATTTACAAGTTAACGGATATATAGATTTGGGTTGTTATATATACTCTTACAATATGTGACATCTATGACTAGTTTATACATATTGTCGGCTCACATTGATGCGATTAAAATGTCCGACAATGGAGAAAACATGAGGTAAACACGTAGATTAAAATTATGATCACTCTTATTGGATTGATGAATAGTCGGACAAAGGGGGAGCAATGACTTCTGTTTAAGATTAGATTGATGAATTGTCCGACAAAGGATTACACGGTATAACACGATAAATTTGTTGATCACTTAATTACCTAATCAATCCAGCCTATTATCAACGATAATCCGGTTGATTGGTAGTTATACACTCAGTACACTATACTATATATTAATTTTGGAATTTTGAATATTATTCACCATGTCTTGATGTCCTATTGGGCATATTCCTTGTTGGACAATTTAGGACGTTTGGAAAATAGTGTCAGACATATCCTGAAAAAGTGGGGTTGGATGGCCGAATGGTTAGCATGTGCACGCTGTATCATAAGGTCTGTCATTGAGTCAGTTGGCGTGGTTTTGATTCCTCTGTTGTACGTGACAAAGAGTAGGGTGGCCTGTCCAACCTCGTGGGTTTTCTCCGGGTCCTCCGGTTACCTCCCACTGCTAAAGACCACTACGCGCACGCGAATTATTGAAATAAAAGTGAACCTTGTGTTAGTCCCGAAATGACCTAGTTTGTCCGGAATATAGGCGAAATTCCATCACTGGTTAAAATCATTTGGGGGCGATTTCCAAGACCACAATCATATAACCATTTTGGAAATTTTAATGTATTGTTTAGAGTATAAAAAGTTAAAAGCACAATTACTTCTGGAGTTAGAGAACCTTTTTAGTAATCTATACAAGACAATCAGCATGGGAGCTTTGACTTTTACGGACATTTTTGCTACTAATGGGCATAGTTTACTGTAACCCAGGTATCATTAAACTTGTGTATTTAGCACTAATTTCTTTCACATTAATTCAATATCAAATCTTTGTTTAAAAATTCGTACATATCGTTTAAAATCACCAAAACTAATCTTATTTGAACTTGTGTACATAGAATTTGTGTACATCTAATTTTTACTTGCATGATTTTAAATCATTTTTATGCATTTTTAAACATAGATTTTATATTAAACGAATGTGAAAGAAATTAGTGCTAGATAAACAAGATTAAATGATACCCAGGTTACATGTATTGTCCAGTGTTTGTTGCAACGAGAAAGAGTGGAAAAGAAAAAAATGGTAATAGAAACAAATGATGACTAGGATTGAAAAAATTATTTAAAACTAGATATATATAAGCATGTTCATTTTTTCTAAACAAAATTTGTAGTCTGATTTTTCTTTATGAATTCTAGTTTCTGAATTTTTTTTTTATTAATTTTTCAGCTATTACTACAACTGTATATTTTCTTGAAACAAAATGTTTTATAATATAGTGGATCATCATTAAATGTAGCTAATGTTTTCTTACACCTACTCATTTTCACCTTATTTTTATTGACAGCCTCCTATATGGATGATGGCATTGTTTGATTTGATAGCACCATACATTGACAGGTAAATTGAGTGTTATTTATTTCTTCTATAGTGGTCGGGTTTACAGATACAAGCTATATTAACCCTCTGAACCAGGGATCTCAATCGTCCATTATTGTTGGCTTCAGCCGCATGATGTTTGAAAAAAGCCAATTGATAAAACAATGAACCAGCGACTATGGTATCATAAATCAATCTACTTTCGTCTAAATTACAACAGGTTAATTGATTATTACTTGTTGATTAAGAAGTGAATCAACTAGCTTGTCGGCTAAAATAACAGCCATGTTGTTCATAATCCAAGTAATTAGCACATTTAGCAGTAATTTTGATAAAAAAAATAAAATAATCTTGCTGATTATACATAACAAGTTCAGTAAGTTGCCTTTGTGAAAATAAGCCATGTGGCAAGTGAAGATAACCTCAGCATGGATTTATTTTGGATTAACTGTGCCTAAACTACTCCCGAACATGACTTCATAGACTCAACATTTAAAGGGTTTAAAATCATATTCTAAAACATCTTCAAAATAAAATATAAGACAAACACAAACAAATAGTCTACTTTTGTGATTTGAATCCTTTTGGTACACTGCAGCTGGTCTGTTAATTATAAAGCTAATATATATATTATGAGTCATCTGATTTTGGGGATTTTGAAATCGGGTATTCATTGTCAATGTCATTTCATTATGTCTGAAGTTTTGTTTCCCATAGAGCTTATTAGGAAAGTGTATTTTGATATTAGTATGGACCTAAAATGAGGACTATTGTATGTATTGGTACTACAGACATAACAAATACTATGGCAGATATATAACTTAAGGAGGTTAATCAGAATTACTCCTTCTCAGGCAAAATTCTTCTTCCTTGTACAGCATAATTGTAGAAAATAAAAATTGACTTGTCAGTTTCAAAATTTCCATGAAAAGATAAAAACTTTGTTATAATTTTGTTAAACATACATGTACATTATGCAAGAGCTAAATCTGCCTATTGCAGGTCTTTCTATGGCCCAAAAATGCTATATAAACTATTGATTAGACATTTATTAACATGAAACGACCTTAATCAACTCTCGATGCCATCATATGTGTCAGATTTTCACTGGATTTGAATCCAATTTTATGCTCAACGCTCATTGATGATTTAATCCAAAAATGGATAATCGAGACTATGTTTTTTTTATCATACCGACTATATTGGCAATGATGATCTAGGCTGGGCCTAAAATTCAAACGCTAAAATTCAGCATATTCCCTTTACATTATCTAGTTTTTATACGCCCACATTTTGATGTGGACGTATTATACCGTCACCCCTGTCCGTCCGTCACAATCTTTATCCAATTTTGAGGAAACTTGAAATATAGGTCTATCTCCCAAATATAACTTCATGTATTATGGACCCTGATTATACAAAAAATCTAGAGGACACAATTTTGATCTGATTTTGATGGAACTTGAATTTCATGTTGAAATACATGTTTATTTTGGTTCCTTTCGATATTCGCGCATATCGGATTGTAATTTCCTGAATTATGGCCCTTGATTGTACGAAAAATCGCGTTTTTATCTTGTAGTCCCTCTAGAGGTCACAGTTTTATCAGATTTAAAATAAACATTTGAATATATATCACTGCTACACCATAATGATGGTTGAGTTCGAATTTCATGAAAATCGGACCAAAACTGCCAGACAAAATGGTCGGCCCTCACACGCAAATAGTGTAAATATATGATGTATCAAGGTTGTGGACTCTCTAGAGGATACAATTTTGATCCAATTTGATGAAACTTGAAATAAATGTTTATAACCCAAAGATCTTGGTTCCTGTCGATATTCGCGCATATCGGATTGTAACTTCCTGAATTATGGCCCTTGATTGTACGAAAAATCGCGTTTTTGGTTTGAAGTCCCTCTAGTGGTCACAATTTTTATGCGATTGAAAAAAATGTTTGAATATATCACCAATACACCCTAATGGTGGTTGAGTTCGAATTTCGTGAAAATGTGACAAAAACTGCCAAACAAAATTTTGATCCGTGTTGATGAAACTTGAAATATATCTTTATAACCGAAAGATCTTGGTTCTTGTAGATATTCGTGCATATCAGACTGTAACTTCCAGGATCATGGCCCCAGATAGTACGAAATATTTTTATCTGATTTTAAAAACTGTTTAAATAGATCACCATTCCACCATAATGAAGGTTGAATTCGAATTTCTGGAAAATCGAAACTAAACTGCCCGAGAAATTGTGTAAAATTATGTAATACGAAAGTTGTGGACCCTCTAGAAGTCAAAATTTTTTATCTAATTTTGATGGAACTTAAAATGTATCTTTATGTCGCAAAGATCTCAGTCTCTTTCAATATTTGCGCATTTCAGACCTTAACTTTTTGGATTATGGCCCCTGATTGTACAAAAAAAAGCTTTTGTTTTTAGCTATTTCTCTATCCATCTCTTGCAAAATGTGGGCGTATCTTGCCTGGCAACAGCTGGTTAACTATTATAGGGAGAAATGCCAGCTCTTTATCTTCCATAATGCCCCTTTAATATTATTTTGTACTTACAGTGTGTTAGAGCCATTAATTATTTATGTATTAAACCTACCATCATTAGTAACTGGTAAAGGTTGTTTAATACCAGAAATACAAGAACTACCATGTGGTTGTCGTCCAAATAAATATGATACGGATCATTCTTCTACTAAAAAAGGTATAATACTTTTCATTCTTCTTTGAACTGACAATGATCATTCTTCTTTTAAATGTTGATCATTCTTCTAAAATAGATTTTACTTTTCATTCTTAGTGATATTATTGATCCACACTAATCAGCAGTGAATATTCGCTGGGCTGCTACAATCACTGATAGGGATGACATCGGTGCGACTTAATAAGCTTGCCAAATATTAACCTTTTTCCTTCTGCAAATTAAATTCTAGAACATTTTTTTTTAATTATTAGGAAAGGAAATAAAGTATAAGAAGTATATCTAGTTAAACATACATTATGCAAGCCTATTGCAGGTCTTTCTTTAGGCCTGAAATTATTAATTATACATTAATTAACTTATCCAGACCATAATTCAATCTCGATGTTAACGCTAGCCTGCAATATATATTGTATTAGGATCTGATTTGCTGCTCAACTTTCATTCATGATTTAATCATGAAATGGATAATCAAGACTATGTTTATTATCGTACCGACTTTAGTAATGATGATTGAGGCTAGGCCCAAAATTCAATCGCAAAATACTCTGTTCAGGGTGGATCAATTTGACTGAAATTTTCAGGAAATTCCCTTTACATTATGTAGTATTTAACTATTATAGTGAGAATTGCCAGCTTTTTATCTAATCTCCCATAATGTATCTTCAACAACTCTGCTTTTAATTGAGGTAGAATGTTTAAACTTGATATAGATGTTCATTGTGTGAATGTTTTGACTTGAGTTCAATGATTAACATTTCCCACTAAAGCTAAGCAGAGTTAAACAATTTTATTGGTCGATGCTTTGGGACAAGATAACTTTGATTTTAACTATGGAGAGTGATGAAACTTAGTGTATAGTTTCACTACCATGTACTTCAAAACGTTGACTGAGTTTGATTATGAATATTTTATGCCTAGAGTAAGTATAGATAATCAGTTTGATTGCTCAGTTCTTTTGAAAAAGAGAAATGTGCAATTAATCAATATGTGTCATCTATTTATTTTGGAATTTCGGCGGGGGACATCAGCCTCACTGTTGGCATGTTTGAATAGATTAAATCCCACTTGGTGTGAGTTATTTGATTAGCCAGTAGGTAGACTAAAGGCATAGATGTTGGACACAAAACATGCACATTGATACAGCAGTGTTGAGGGTAGATTTTTTAAACAAAAGATTGCAAGGAACCTGTTACAACTTGATAAAAAGTCAAGCTTACAAACAACATATAAATAATATCAAATATATAAAAATAACTATTGTTTGTTTGCAGGAGAACGCTTTATTATTGAATCTGCTTTAAAGATAGTTGTGGCTGAAATGAGTGAAAAAATTCATGCACTGAATTCAGCTTTCTGTGTAGCATGTTACTTATTACAAGAAGCTTGTCATCAGAATAACTTTAAAACACCACATAATTGTGCGGGGTTAATTGTAAGTATAACACTGGACTCAAAACCAGAATGTCTAAGATTGCAAGCATGTCTTTTATTTGGTTAGAAGTCACAGCATCACACTATAGTTCAAATATGAAAAGGATAAAAAAACAAATGCCCTTAGATTGCAAGCAAGTCTTTTATTTGGTTAAAATTCACAGCATCTTATTATAGTTCAAATATGAAAAGGATAAAACAACAAATGCCCTTAGATTGCAAGCAAGTCTTTTATTTGGTTAGAATTCACAGCATCTCATTATAGTTCAAATATGAAAAGGATTAAACAACAAATGCCCTTAGATTGCAAGCAAGTCTTTTATTTGGTTAGAATTCACAGCATCTCATTATAATTCAAATATGAAAAGGATTAAACAACAAATGCCCTTAGATTTCATATGAAAGCTTATTGTTTTTGTTAAAGTTATTATTATTAAAGTAGCTAAGTCTTTAACTCAATATCATCCACAGTCTTCGACAAAGAAAACACAAATTATTTGTCAATTTAAATCAACATTGATGTTGTGATCTTACTGGGAAAAGATGGGCTTCTGATATCCAATATTTAAGACAAAATAAACATTTTACCATTGGTACATGAATTGTGTACAAGGATGCGTTTCAGCGCCATTTGTAACAAGGGACTCGAAGAACAAGGCTAGACATATCCCACAAATCATGTCAAACTGTGACGTCATATTCCTATCTGGAGAGCATGTGCAATAAATACTAACGGTGTAGACTGGTATAATCAGACGCTAGAGATTGTTTTAGATTGAGACTTCTTGCCCATTTCACCGAATATAAAAACGGAACGATTGAATGTAAATCAATTTAGATATACTCTTCAAAAAAAGTAGGGCATATTCAGAAACAATACAAAACTGCGGAAATGCACTGCTGTTTTTATTAGAGGTAACCAGTGTATGTTAATAACAGGCCAATTGCCTACACATGAACATAAACAGTTCATATGGGCGTCTTACAGTGATGGGATTTTGCCCGTATTTTCCAAACGTCGTAAATTGTCCGACCAGGAATATGCCGAATCGGACATCAAGACATGGTAAATAATATTCAAAATTGGAAAATTAATATAGTGTACTGAGTGTATAACTACCACTCAACCCGATTATCGTTGATAATAGGCTGGATTGATTAGGTAATTAAGTGATCAACGTATTTATCGTTTTATACGGTCTATACACATACCTTGATTTACTACTTAATCTGCCTTGATTGACTGACTTAATTCTTTGTCGGACAATTCATCAATTCAATCCTGAACAGAAGTCATTGCTTCTCCTTTGTCAGACTATATATCAATCCAATAAACTTAATCTATGTGATTAACCCGTGATTTCTCCATTGTCTCATGTTTTAATCTCCTTGATGTCGGCCGTAGACATTAGTCATATATGTCACATAACCTAATCGTATATAACACCCCAAATCAATATACATTGTGTCCGATAACTTGTCTGTGATATTTCTTCAGTGGAAGTCGAAGTTAAATAAAGCTATTTCACACACACGCAAAATGAAAGTAGAAATCTCGCGAGACACATGGAATTAAGAGGTGTAAACGTGCCGAATCTAATACGTCTGATGTCGGGAGAAAAGATTCTATGTTGATGGCATATTGTCGGATTTATGATCATATTTTGAATGGGGTTTATGTTTTTAAATAAATAAATAAACACGCTAAAAAATGTTGACGAATATTTCGATTGGAATAACGTAAGTAGTTACAGTAATTGTTTTAGACGAGAGCGCATGCTTAGAGTCGAATGGGATTTTTTAGCAGTTGGTGTCACTCGCTCATTGTATTATAGAGCGACGTTTACTACGGATTACGGTCAAATAAATTTCGGGATGTCATTTTTTTACCTTCCGTATATAAATCGAAACAGAGTATAAGACGAATGCCGGACTTCGCTAAAAATGTATCAACTTGTGACCCGAAAAATACGGTAATTTTGGGGGAATTGAAACTGGTACCGATGGGCAGTAGTCGGCACGCTTTCATTTTATGGTATTACGATGTCATGTAATTTTTTATTAATATTATTGACATAAATTTGAATACCGTACGGGAATTGAATGTGAAAAATAACGAGGTGCACCTATTTTTTTTATTATGTATGAATTTGAATATTTTGTTGACACATGATTCTTAATTGTGGTTTGAAAACGCCTGCTTAAATAACGATAAGAGTTATGTCCCTTTATTTTCGGGAAGAAAATGTCCGACAACTAAAATTTTGAAATCCCATCACTGGGGTCTTATCTGACGGCCCCATTTCACTCACAAAGAGATACACTGTCAAAAGTGAAAATGGACGTTTTTGATTTTTGTCTTAATAATGAGTAATTACTCCACCAATCCTCAGACATTCAGCAATTCATCGTGGCATGCTCCTAATCAACCGTCCAAACACGATTTGGGGCAATCTGACCCACTCCTCTTGCAGTGCCACGGCCAATTCTTGCAGTGTTGTCCGTTGACGTTGAATATTAGTATGATTTTCATGACATTTGCATTTCAATATCCCCTACTTTTTTTGAAGATGTTATATTATATGCGTTGTGACCCATTTGTATCAATTTTTAAGTCCCAAAAATTATCGATTTAGCTCCCTTAAGCTTTATTGATTCTGTTAAAATTATTAATATTTTTTTGTGTGTGTTTTCTGCAAATCGGACTTCTCAGTATCTAACCATTTGATCTTTCTGAAACTTTAACCTACACCCCCCACCCCCACCCCCTCATTCACTAAATGGGTAGTGAGTTTTGATTAAATATATTTTCAAAACGTTTTTCAGAATCCGAAATCACTGAATATTTCAATTGAAAATTTTTACTAATTCTTTTTTCTTTAAATACTTTGACAAATATCATTTTCAACTGCAATTTCAGATTTTTAAACTTTGAAAATTTGTCCCGGAAGTTAAGACAAACTTAACAACTGCTTTGATATTTGGACGATTTTCATGGAATTTGGATTGTTAGTAGATCTTACTGATGCGACTCAAACGATGTCATTAGAAATTTTCAACTTATCTCCCCTTGGAGAAATTAAAGATCAAAATTTTCAAAAAAATCAACAAAATGTAGGTTAGATAGCTTTGAATTTTTTTTTATTTCTGTACTTGCTAAAAATCCCTAAGGTTTTTGCGATATTTTAATTACAGACATTGTAGTTACATTTTCTGAAGCCTTGAAGGAATGCCTAAAAACGCTCAGAGCAGAATTTTGATTTAGGTCAACTGATGGTCGCCATTTTGAATTGAATATGAAAAATATTGAAAAATCTATAATAACAGGCTTGTGAATAAACACAATAGGCCGTAGTTTGTTGAATTTGTCTCCTATTTCTGAAATTAATACATTTTCTGGATAGCCTGGCTCATGTTCAAATTTTTGCTATTTAAAAAATTCAATATTTCGAATTTCCACTTTAACGTTTTTTGTGTCGACAAAGTTGTTTACGAGTGAAGAGTCCGCTTTAACGGCTTGGAGTATGTCGTCATTTTGTGAATTCGTCCTATTTTGACCTATTTTACTAATTCTTTTTTCTTTGAGTACCTTAAAACATTGATATTTGATTTGCTATTTTCTATTTTCGAATTTTGAAAATTACGTCATTGACATGACATAACAATTTCTTGAGTTTTGAATATTAGTATGATTTTCATGACATTTGGAAAGTAAATAGATCTGGTTGATCCAACTTCAACAATGTCATTAGAAATTTTCTAACTTACCCCTCATTGGAGAAATTATGGATCAAAGTTATCAAAAAATCGAAAAAAAGAAGGTTAGAATGCCTTGAAATTTTTTTTGTGTACTAGCTAAAAAAAAACGTTCAGAGCAGAATTTTGATTTCGGTCAACTAATTGTCACCATTTTGAATTGAATATAAAAAATAGTGAAAAATCCACATTTACGGATGGTCACCATTTTGAATTGAATATGAAAATTAGTGACAAATCTATATTGACAGACATGAACATAAACATAATAGGCCGTAGTTTTGTGAATTTGCCTCCTATTTCTGCAATTCATACATTACTGGATAGCCTGACCCCGGGTCAAATTTTTGGTATTCGAAAATTCAAAATTTCAAATTCCCACTTCATGCTCACAAAGTTGTTTATGAGTGAAAAATCTGCATTAATGGCTTGGAAATAATCGGAATAAGCCGTTGTTTTCTGAATCTATCTTCTATTTCTATACTAAACAGCAAAACAAATCTCAGTACGATTTTAAAATCAGAGAGGCACTTTAATCAAATCATTCTAGACAACGACTTACTCAATGAATCAAAGCAATTTTTTAGTGAACAGTATGTTGACACATTAGTGATTAATTCATCACAATTCCAAGACATTACAAGAAGGTTTCGAGTCTGTATACAGTCTATACATCAGTATCTGGTGTGTCCACCGTCAATAACAGCAGCGCAGTGCCTGTACATGGAGTGGACCAGACGGTTGATGAACGCCATTGGCACTGGAACCATACTCTCAGAAAAGCTTGGCGCAATCCATGGGCTGTATTTGGTCTCGATACGACATTATTAAGTCTCCTCTGAATTTCATCCCAACGATGTTCAATCAGGTTAAAGTCCGGACTAAGGGCTGGCTAGTGCATAACGTTGACACCGTTTTGCTGGAGGAAGTCCCGAGTAACTCTGGCAGTGTGAGCGCGGGCGTTGTCATGCTGGAAAATGTTGTTTCGATGACATGCGAAATGTGGTATGATGTGGGGTCTGAGAGCTTGATAGATGTAGCACACTGCTGTGGTGCCGCCTCCTCTCCCGGGACCAAAATTTTGGATCACCACAGGACCCACTCTCTGGTTCAGGCCGATTCCACCCCAAAACATTATGCTTGGACCGCCCCATGAATCTCGTTCCATGACACATTGGTCAGAATAACGCTGGCCACGTCGACACTATATTCTGGTCCTGCCATCTGCAGTTGATACACAATACC